TGCAGAAATAGGTTCCTTAATCACAATTTCATTGCCTAATGTCAAAAGATAATAATATTTTGAAAACAATAGTTTTCTTCAGAGTTTTTTCACATGTTATTTCATCATGTAACATACAATGACAGATTCCTGCAGTGTTTATTACCTGTTTCTGATCATTAGGTACTACCTAATAAGCTGCCTTTCTCATTGCCTTAAAATCAGAATATCCTGAAAGAGCTCATCTATCTTTAAAAGAAATAATAATCTTGCATCACCTTTAGAATTATACATAATATTAAAAACGATAACAGTTGGAACTGACATGCATCATGGAGATTCACATTTTCTGCTCCTTATATGTCAGGGAAGGTTTTCATACTCAGACTTACACATGGAATATCTGATTCAATTATCTATTGTTTCTAGAAGTCATTATCTATTGACTCTTTGCAGCTTGAAAGCCATGGATATGAAAATAGCAATTTTTTTACTCCATTGACAGTATCAATATAGGTAGAGTGTATCTCATTTTCTAGAGTGGGATATTTAGCATGCAATAGGTGTAAATGAAAGATGTAAACTATGAGACAAAAGTGAACCTTTCAAACGTTAAATGTGATGCTGGCTGTGTTCTTATGAGCTTAATGATATCTAGTGCACACAAGAACACATAGGTGTCATGCTGGGAAACCAATGATCTAGCTCTCATCTTGACTGCAGGCAAAGAATATCTCATCAAAGCTATAAATTTCATGAGTCTGTTCCCAAATTTAAAACCCTTAAGGAAAATGGCTTTCACGGTTCAACAGTTTTAAAGGGTTGTTCTTGCTTGGCTTTGTAACAAGGAAATTAATAGTTTTTCTAAAACAAATCAGAATTATACCATAGCTGCATGCGTTTTCATGCTGTTGCTGTTAGCACTTAACTTCCTCTCTAGATAACAAAGCCTTGGACTTCACATTGAATTCACCATGGGGAGACATTTATTATCTGCTATAAATGCTCAGGATAGTCTGGGATGGGGGTGTAATTTGCTCATTCATGGCTATGTAAAAATTGTTTTCTTGAGGTAATGAGAAATGGAGTAGTTTTCTAATCGACTTTCACTATTCAAAGTGAATCTTATTTAGCCTAATGTCAGAAGTACGTTGTTTCAGTCCCAAGCAGTGTTGGCACACAACCAATAGAAATATGTGCAGGTCTCAAGGACCCAAGGCACTGGGGAAATGCCAAAGCAATTAAATGAACTTATTTCTTCTTTCTCAATGGGCTTCAAAATAAATCTGATGTAGCCATGTTAAAGAAGCAGTTGTAGGAAAGATTCCCCTTTTTTGTTTGGTATACATTCAATTTAAAGAGGAATAGTTTGTTGCATCTGGGGAAAAACTAGACAAATTTATAATGAATGTAGAAGAGTACAGACATATCAAATGCTTCCAACTGTTTAAGCTTAGAGGAAAATCATCAATGTAAGGAATAACTACAGTCATGCAATAACTTGGATGAATCTCAAAACTTTATGCTGAGTGAAGAAAGCCAGACACAAAAGCTATGTGTAACATAGTTTCATTTGTATAAAATCTTAGAACATGTTACAGAAAGAATATACATATATAAAGTGAGAAATAAGAATATCATTATCTCCTTTCAAAAATATTAGAGGAACAAAACTACTCAGACTCACCTCATTCTATCTGGATGATTAGAAAGTCACAAATGAAAAATGACTATATCTTGAGAAGAGTATGTCCTATTTGGTATGGTACGTATAAAAATGAAACCTAAAGCAGTTCATAGACTCAAAATTGTTCATAGACTTAAAATTGGAGCAACTGGGCACACACCTCTGCTTTTCCCCTCATTCAAGTTTTCTAATCCCAAGGAAAGTGGATACAATTTATCAGAAGATATAACTATAATTTTATAATTTTAAAATTGAGTTTAAATGTATTTCTAACTGCAAGGGTCATTCAAAAACCATTAAAACAATGTGAAATTATTTAAAAAATTCAACTACATTAAATGTTTTCAAATAAGATACTATACACTATTTTTATTTTTTGCTTTTTGCCTCTAGATATGAACTGACTAGTTTTTGAATGTTGGATTTGTAAAAAATTTTGTATATTGTTTAGATTTTTTAGGTCTTTCATTAACATGTTTTATAGACAGTGATTCTTTCTAACATTTACACTGTTACTATAAATATTACACAACATGTCAAATTTCTCTCCTAAAAAATCAAGGATTAAACCCTAATTTTGTGAACTACGCCACACAGCTTAGTGTGACAAATGGTTTCTGAAAAGAATAACCAATATGAAGTGTGACTTTTACTTGAAAAGAAAAAGAAATTAGCTCCAGTTTTGGGCTACTATAAATAAAACTGTTAAAAATATTCATGTACAAGGCTGAGTACAGTAGTTCACGCCTGTACTCCCAGCATTTTGGGAGGCCAAGGTAGGAGGATCAGGAGTTGAAATCCAGCCTGGGCAACATAACGAGATCTTAAAAAAAATTCATGTACAAATCTTTGTGAGGGCACATGTTTTCATTTCTTTTTGTAATACCTATTAGTGGAATGACTGGGTCATATATTAAGGGTACGTTTAACTTCATAAGAAATTTCCAAACTCTTTTCCAAAATAATGTATCATTTTACACTTCCACCAACAATATACAAGAGTTCCATTTGCTTCATAACCTTACCAACATTTCATTATTGGCCTTCAACTTATAGCCCAGGACGCCTGTCCAGTGGGAAAACAATGGAAATCATAATATATAAATTCAAATTTTCTAGTAGCCACAATTTAAAAAGAATAGTTGAAATTTAACACTTTAATCAAATCTATTCAAAATATTGTCATTTCAACATGTAATCAGAATAAAAATTAGGGAGGTATTTTTCTTTTTTTTTTTTTGCACCCTAGCTCCAAAATCTGATGTATATATTATGTTTACAACACATCTCAATTGGGACTAGTCATATTTCTAGTATTCAATAGCTACATATTTTTAACAGCTTGCTGTACTGGGTAACAGAGCTACAGTGGTTTCAATATGCGTTTTCCTGATAACTAATGATGTTGAGTATATTTTCATGTGCTTTTTGGCTATTTGTATATATTCCATTGTAGCAGTATTCACACAATATAATTGTAGTATATTCACACGATGAAAAAGTACTTAGCAATAAAAAGAAATGAAGTCATGCAATGACTTGGATGAATGTCAAAACTTTATGCTGAGTGAAGAAAGCCAGACACAAAAGATGTGTATGATAAAATTCTATTTGTATAAAGTCTTAGAACAGGGAAAACAAAGAAAGAAAGATCAGTGGCTACAGTGGGGAAGTGTAAATGATTGCAAAACTGAAGGACAGAACTTTTTAGGGTATTGGAAATGCTTTATATCTTGGAGAGGTGGTTACATGAATATATGTATTTGTTGAAATTTATTGAATTGCACATTCAAAATGAGTGAATTTTAGGTAAATTATACTCCAATAGAATTGATTTAAAGAGTATGAACATTAGTGGTATCCACTACGTAATCCGTAAGGTCAGTGAAAAGTAAAACCATGGGGTCTCTTTGTCAAAAGTTAAGAATTCCAAGACCGTAACAGCAGAGTAAGCTTGTCTGTCATTGAATCCCTAGTGATAAGCAGAACAGTGTATAACTTATAGTAGGACCTACTAAAGCTTTGTTGAATGATTTTAAAAACTTGAGCATCTTAGTGCCCAGCAATTTCCATTCAAGAGTAGCATAATATCCCTTCCCGCTTCTGCTATTTGTTGATCATGTATTATTTCTTCTTTTTAAAAGTGAAACTACTGATATAACCGAAATATATGTGAATGTGGGCATTTTGAAATAAACTGATGTGGGAAAAAAGTCAAATTTTTGTATTTGCTTATTGCAAAGGCTCCCTGCAGACTCTGAACTGCCATCTCAACCTTTTCTTTGTCTTAAAGTCTTTACTCCAAAATTCACCCAGGGAATTCATTAGTCCATGGATCCCATCTGTGGGCTCTAGCTGTTTTCCTGACATGCGTACTGAGATTTGAGACTATTCTTCTGATGTTTCTGTCTTAACTACTCGCAGTTTCCTCCATCTCAGTCCACTGTATCATAGCTGTTAGCGTGTCCTGCTGTCACACATTTATTGGGCTTGTTGAATGCATATAATATGGCTTCAAGGCAAATACACTGATTCCATTCTCACATTCTCTTACAAGTCTTCCAAAGTTCTGCCTCTCATTTTAAGAAACCCTGCCTTAAATAATCAAACAAAGACATCTGCCAAAAACATTTGGCTCTGCAGATAGCAAGCAGATTCACTGCTCTTCCTGTCGTTGGCAAATGGCAGCTTGGAAATTAGAACTGGGGAGAGTAAAGTGGCTGGTTATTGAGAGCTCTGATAAAGATAGGGGACAGATGAATTTTGAAAAATTCCTAAGCCAAAGACATACATACAAGAACTAGTCTTGAAATGTCCAGGAAAAGTGTGTGGGACCTTGCACACAGCAGGTCCTTAGTAAATGTTTTGTAAATTATAAATCATGGCATTACTTCTGCCAGAGAATGTTAAATTATCATTTCTTTTTAGTCTTTCCCTGCAGTCCTAGAGTATCGTGTGATACATAAATATATGAAATCAGGAAACAGTATTTCTCCTTGTGGCATTGACTGGTTTTAACCACTTTCATGTGCAAGCATTCCTTGTTCATTTTTGAACTATGTTGGTTTTTCTTTATATTGCAAATCAGAATTCTGTTAAGGCCCTTAAAGAACACAGAGTCTAGTAAGGAGAAAAAGGACCAAGAGAGTTTTTTTTTTTTTTTTTTTTTAGGTCATTTAAATGTGTTAACAGGTTCCAAAAAAATAACATTCTGTCTCTGTTCTCAAATTTGAGTCAAAAATTTTTCTCCTTTTAAGAACTTTGAAAGATCCAGTTTTTAAATAAAAAAGTCGAAATTACTCTAAAATATATGAATTCCAAATACAAGCTCGTATTTCATTTTGAATGACTTTATTGAGAACGTTTTGCAAATTAGATTTTACAATTTAACATTTTACAATTAGAAATTTTATCTGTTATTACATAAGCTGCAAACTTTTCAAAAACACTACAGAAAATCTTTTATTTCTTTGGATTTTTCTGTTCCACGTTGAGTTCCTGAGATATATTTTTTCTTTCAGCTTCATTTTCATCTTCCTGTGAAATAAATTTTAGAAAACATTAAAATATAAACTTTAGGACATTTATCAGCTATACTTAACACATTTTAACTGTATTGTAGAACTATGAACTACTGAGATTTCAGTAATCCTAAACACAAATGGTAAAATTATGTAACATTTAAATATTTGCAGTAGGTGCTGTTTTATAGTACACATTAAAATTTTCTATATGTTTTTAAAAGCAACCAATTTTAACAATGCCCTAAAAATTACTTTGGAAACACCTGCCACTGAAAAGTGTTCTTTGCAGGGGATAAACTAGATATTTTTACTTCACTGCTTGATAAAAAGCAATATATATAATTTCTAAGACACTTCATGTGCTTCAGCATGGCATTTTTTGTCCCATCTAGTATACTTTCTTGACAGGTGTGCCAATTTTCCAATTACTTGTACCACCATATGTTATCTGAAGATCAGTGAGGTCTAAAATAGGAAGCATGTGCATGTCAGGCTTAGAATGCTTACAATCTTCTACAGTTTCGATTCTAAGTAGTGGTCTCATAATTCATAGCGGGTTCCTGTGGAACATGGTGAATAGATGAAGTGACATCATAATGTCTGCTTTCATAGAAATGAAGTGCATCTTGTGTTCAGTATTAAATGGTAACCTTCAAAGTATAAATAATGAGAGTCTGGAAAAATATTTCATCTTACAATTTGTAACCCATCTCATCATACATGTTCCCTCAATAACACCCAAGTACAAAATGGTCTTGCTTTCCTAGTATTTCTGATTTATCATATAAGATTACCTATTTTTATTAACTGACATAAAGATACTCTTCTGAGTTAAAGCATAAACATCAATTTCTTAAGTATTTCTAGACAACAGTAATAATTATCAGTATCATCAAACATATCACTCTATCTCTGTATCTGATGAAATCAAATAATTGAATTAAATAATTGTTGAGCTTTACTTTTTGAATTGACTTTATTAAGTAAAAGCAAACCAAGGTATGCATATTTGTTTTCTATGACAAACTACACACTTGCCAGTAATCATTAAGGTGGGTGAAAAAAGCTTTTTTATATACTTTGTTTCTCTAAACTCAATAGAATCTGTGATTTACACTTTGTTAACACTGGGAAAGTAGAGACATTATCAATATTATCAACAAATCTGAATCATTATAGATACATAGAACACCAGGAATGGGGTTTTGAATATCATTTTGGCAATGTAACTTTGATATATTTTTCCAAGTATGATAGCCACTGTGTGTCATTTCATTTTTTCCCTATTTTATCTCCTGTGAATAGATATATTCAGTTAAGTTTGACTCGTGAAAATTTATTAATGAACATGTGGTTTACACTTTTAGACAAAAGTTCCTAGAGATTACATTTTTATCTATCTATGCATCTATGTATCGATGTATCAATGTATCGATGTATCAATGTATCGATGTATCTATCTATCTATCTATCTATCTATTTATTTTGAGATGGAGTCTCACTCTGTCACCCAGGCTGGAGTGCAGTGGTGCAATCTCGGCTCACTGCAAGCTCCGCCTCCCGGGTTCAAGCCATTCTCCTGCCTCAGCCTCCCGAGTAGCTGGGACAGGCGCCCGCCACCACGCCCGGCTAAGTTTTGTGTGTTGTTAGTACAGACGCGGTTTCACCATGTTAGCCAGGATGGTCTCGATCTCCTGACCTTGTGATCTGCCCACCTCGGCCTCCCAAAGTGCTGGGATTACAGGCATGAGCCACCGCGCCCAGCCTAGAGATTACATTTTAACTACATTCTAATAAAAAGTAAATCTTACTCTTCACTTTCCCTTGTCTTCTTCAGGAGCGACACTTAGAAAGTGTTAAATCTGCAGGTACCAATGGCAATACATTTTTGATATGTAGCACTGAATTTGTCCTTATGTTCCTCAAAGGAAAGTTTTATCTTCTGTATCTTAGACATTCCTACCATCTAACAGGGCATACTTAGTATATAGTTGTAGTACAATCAGTGTTTTCTGAACCATGTGAAACAGTGGAATAATGAATGAATAAAAGGTATGCCTGAATTAATACATAATTTGGAAAAGCACAATATTGTTCTTAACTATCGTAAATTAAGATTGCTAGTACTCACACTTCTAGCAATCTTAACTTACTGTAACAGCACTGAAAATAAAAATAAGCAAAAATGTTTGAAGCAACATAAGTCAAAATAGCCATTATCAACCTCATACCCTTTATAAAAGAAAGATGGAGCCTTTATCACACGGACAATCTACTAAGTTTCTACACCACATGACTTCCCGATTTAACAAGCTTGGTTATCTAGTTTTCTCTAGCAACCTTCAATGCTGCCCTAAGTCAAAATAGAAATGTAAAGACTTAATAATAACTCTGAGGACTAGGAGGTACTTATACACTTTGCTTTCATAATTAACTATGGATACAAGTTATTGGAACATTGTTAAGTGAAATAAAAATTTGCAACTTCCATTAATTTGAATATGTTTTAATATATGGATAAGATATAGATAGATATGCCAGTTAAGTAACATTCCTTAATACAATGTTTGTCTTTTTGTTGTTGAATTTTTCTTAGTAATAAAGTACAGCTTATAAATGCATGCCTTAACACTGCCTGCTATTCACGACAGGTACACAACTGTTTCACACCTTTCTTTGTGCTGAGGATTTGTCTTAAAACATCTTGCCTTTTATGCTGTTAAGTCATTTATATAACAAATAAGTGCCAATCTCTTTCTTCCTTTTAGAAGGATAGCTGTACCCTAGATGCAGAAAAGGATTATGAAGGGGTGAAAAAGGCATTCAACTCTAATTGCTAGAGTATAATACTAAAATTGCTATAATATAACATTATCAAAATAATAGTAATAGATTTTATCACAAATAAAAACATTAATATTTGATCTAATAAAGCTCTAGGGAAGTCTTTTTGGAGGTGCTAATTTGTGTTTTTAACATTGCAGGTCAATTTTTCTAAGAACTGTATATGCAGTTCCAGATTAATAAAAATCATTAAAGTGACTCAGATAGCAAAAAAAATATAATTGATAAATGACTGCATAATACGAAAGCATTTCTTTACTACTGGATATTGCAGGCAAGTAAAAATGTCTTCTGATATATAGCAGGGTTTTTGTTTTCTCTCTGCTGAGATAAGACATCTGTTTGTTTCCCAATGAAAGAAGACCCTAGCTACACGGATCATTTTTTTAGTGACAGCCCTGACAAGTTTGACATTTGTTTCATGAAGTGTTCTGAAACAGTCGTGAAGAAAATGTACCCTTTGAGGCTACTGGAAAGTAGACAGGCTTACCTCTTAATGTTTAAACTTGTTAATTCATATTCTAAAAAAACACACTGACTGTAACATCCTTGCAGATCTGCTAGTTATATGTGAAATTTCAAGACTGTGCACTCAATTAACAGTAACACCTAGAATATCAAATGACAAAATTTGGTTCCTTAGCCTTGCTCTTTTTACTTTGACAGAACTGTAGTGAGAATGGTAATTTCTAGGCACAGATGGACCAGGTAATAATGGGCTGATACTCCAGGTGGCAATATGAGACTGAGTTATTCTAACAGAGAAATTAAATAAAAACACTGCCATATTTATCTTATTACTAAATAAAACTTGCAAGATTTTGTTTAAATGTTAGTCAGCTTGCTCTATCAATTTGTGATACAGGAGAATCTCTGTTTTTCTTTATTTATAAATGTGATTTCGTTCTCAAGATAGTTCAAAGAATTGATGGCAATTAATAAAACGTATCCATTCTTTTCCTTCCTCTTAGGAGGTAACCAGCTCCTAACAATGGTCAACTATTTTAGCATCTGGAATTTATATCACTCAGGTAATACTTGGATACAAATTACACTCTATGAGTACAGATAACTTTATGTTTACCTTGTAGATGCCCAAGTTTAAAAGATTTCTTAAAATCTTGTAATCCTTTATATAAAAGGATTATACAAAGGGGCAACTCTCCCTATTACTTCTTTATATTTTTATAGATGTTGATGTAAGGACCTTTATAATGGAGAAACATGGCAAACACCACCTTAACCAAATGGTCAAGGTTAATATCACCAATAATATATATTAACACCCTGATACGATGTACTAAAAAGGGTACATCACCTCTGGTTTGTGGTATCCTTCTCAACAGTGTACAACCTAATTCTAATCTGAGAAAACATCAGATAAACCCCCTAAAATATAATTAAACAGTAGCTTTCAAAATGTCAAGGTCGGCTGGGCACGGTGGCTCATGCCTGTAATCCCAGCACTTTGGGAGGCCGAGGCAGGCGGATCACAAGGTCAAGAGACCAAGACTATCCTGGTCAACATGGTGAAACCCCGTCTCTACTAAAAATACAAAAATTAGCTGGGTGTGGTGGTGCAAGCCTGTAGTCCCAGCTACTGGGGAGGCTGAGGCAGGAGAATTGCTTGAACCCGGGAGGTGGAGGTTGCAGTGAGCCAAGATGGTGCCACTGCACTCCAGCCTAGGCAATAGAGTGAGACTCTATCTCAAAAAAAAAAAAAAAAAAGTCAAGGTTACGAATGACAAGACTTGGAAATATCACAGACTGGAGGAGACTATTGGGACATGATGACTGAATGCAGTGGGAATCCTGGACTATATATTTTAAGGACATTAGTGAGAAAACTGGTAAAATTTTAAAATGGTTCTTAGAGTAGTTAGTAGTAGCCTCTCAAAGTTAATGTCTTGCTTTCAGTAATTGTACTGGTTACATAAAATGGCAACACCACAGGAAGCTGGATAAAAGGCAAATGGGAAATTTCTGTACTATTTTTGCAATTTTTCTGTAAATTTAAAATTATTTCAAAGTAAAATCATTAAAGAAACAGAAAGTAAAAATGGCTACTTAATGAAAGTTTCCTAAATTCAAATAAAGTAAGTAAAGTGTATGGGCAAAGATTTTACGAGAAAAGAAATGCAACGCACCTGTAGCCTCTACACTGAAATA